TTGTATGTGAAAGACTTGTAATATTAACTGAAAGACTGACAAATTTCGTGAAGATATACCCAATATATAGAGAGTTATAAGTATTAAACTGATGTTAACTTTAAAACGAATACAGAAGGACTCGTGACTCGGTCAAATCGACCGACCCCGTGTCGGAAGAGTTAAAGATGATGCACATGAGCATGACCCAAAGAGAGGGGGTGGCTGTGTAAACTAGGTGCTCCATGTCCCTCAAACAAAGAGGAAAAGGCTGGGCTCTACTGAGGTGAGAATTGAAAAACTCACCCAAATGAATGAAACACTAAGTCGGAATGAGATGCGATTTCTCCAGTTTGACCAGCCAATCCAGACATGATGACTCCTGAAGGAGGAGAAGAGTATGGTTGTAGGAGACTGGTTGGGATGGTGCCAAAAGAAGCCAGTCATCCATATAATAATTAAACCACAGTCCCAGGCCATGAATGTGATCAGTAAAAATTCTGATCACCTGACAGAAAACATATAGAGCCAAAGCAAGGCCAAAGGGTAGAGCATGGAATTGAAATGCCTGACCTCAATGAACAAAATGAAGGTAACCACAGGAAGTAGGGGAAATAGGAAATAGAAACGAGAAGGTTAGCATATAAGACATCGACCTTGGTCATCCATAGACCTGGAGGGAAAGACCATCTAAGGGTGAGAAAGAACTCCATGGTAAAACAAGGGAGGTCAATGAAGTGATTGAGGCTCGAAAGATTGATAACAGGATGCTAATTCTCCATTTTATTAAGGATGAGAAACAGACAGGAATAAAAACCCAGAGAAAGATGTAAAACCTGTTGAATGACATCATTTTCCAAGAGATCCAAAACCATCTCTAACAGATGCTGGTAATAAACCGTATCCTAAGGAGAAAGAAAATGAATGGGAATAGGAGATAGAGGAGGAGGAGAGGAAAAACAAAGAGCCAGTCCCTCTGATAACTTCTGAATGACCCAACAATCAGCTGCAACTGGGTACCACAGGTGAGCAAGTCAGGCCCCTTCCATGTCTGAACTCAAGGGATAGTGACTGTCAATATGAATGGCATTGAAGGTAATGGTGAAAGTGCAGACAGATAAGAGCAAAAACGTAGATAGGGGGAACAGGGAGAGGAATGGTAGCCAGAAGACAAGAGATAGAAAACCAGAGAATAAATAAAGGAGTGTTGGCACATAGCCTCCACATGAGATTCCAACGAATCAGGGCCACTCCCAGAAACAGAAAGGAAAGGAGCCAGATGAAAGTCTCATAGATATGAAGCAGGCAAATGCACCCAAGAAAGTGGTTCCAACAGCAAATCAACCATGTATGAAGAGATAAAGCAGATGAAGATAAATGTGCCAATGTAGAAAAAAAAACAAGAGAAAGACTATCTGCTGAAAATCACTCAGGTGAATGGTGGATAGCCTCATAAAGCAAGCAGATGGATGAGAGATAACGTAGTAGAGTACTAAAGGTGAGATAAAGATGAGAAAATGGGGCTAGGGAAAGGTAAAGAGAAAGGATCTAACCCCTATGACGAAATAAGAGACTCCAAATTCTGACAGTTAAGAAAGGGAAACTCAGCCCAATGGGAGGCCAAGTCATGTGTGTCCACCAAACAAGGAGGATGAGGCATGCTGGATCCAATATAAAGGTGAGAAAGAAATTGATCTGCATGGACCTGAATATCTGTGGAAGGGAGAAAAACAAAATAATCAGTAGCCAGGCCAGAATGAAGCAGGGAAGAATCATAAGACACAGGAGAAAGAGACAAAAAGGTAACAAACCTGAGAAACCATATCTAAAAAGAACAAGGAAGGACAAGGTAAATCAATAACAGTGAATTGAGAAACTACAGCAAAAACAGGTGGAGGAAATAGAGAGTCAAAAGTGTCATCCTCTTGAAAAGGATCCCCAGGGAAAGGAATATCTCTCCTTGAGTCAGAAGACAGATCAAGTCGCATGTAGGACTCCAACTCCCAACCCAAAATGGCTGACATCTCCTCGACAGAGAGAGAGGGTGGCCTGAAGCCATAGTAGTAATTTTTCTAGCATAAACAAGATCTTGTGGATCCACACCAGATAAAGTAGCAGTAACATGAACTTGCAAGTTCATAATGTGGAAAGGAAATAAATAAATAATCAAAAGCCTTTCACAAACTAAGTAAATATAACAGAAAAAAAAATGTTGTCAAAAAAAAAGCAAAGTATTAATCATTGACACAAGTGAAAAAATGACACATCTACACATGCAAATGCCAAATTGAGAAGTGATGATTTAACAATCAGAAAAGAGTGAGTCGGCTACACTAGGAGGGTGTATCCTACCCCTATCCATGGAGGGTTGTTGAGTGTTTATTTGCACGCTACAGCACAGCAGCCCCATGTGGAAATACATGAATTTAGGTAAGAGCCTCAAGGCTAGTAGCAAGCAAAAAATTGCACATACAAAAAGCAGTACAAAATCAAGGAAAGCTAATACATTAGCAAAGGCAAAGTATTGTATCAGAATTTTGTAAGTCATTGATGAACAGCAAATAATAAAAACTTAAGCTTTGAAATTGTTGTTCGTTTTGCCTCAAAGATAATGACTCATTGTGTTTTGGAAAGGTTCACATTCTTCAAGTAGTACATCTTGTCAGACACATACTTTAAACTCAATTTCAGGACTGCAATGAGATATCTTCCATCATTCCTACATGTTTCTGGGTTTGCATACACTGACTTTGATCATCTAATCCTATTATCTTAACATGTGCAAAACCTTACATTTTTTTCCTTTTTACTATTTTTTTAACCTTATATTAGCTGTTTTAAAAAAACTGAGATTCAATGTATAAAGAACCAAACCTGTTTTATTAAGCAAGTAAAATGGCTAGTTTAACACTGTATCTTTTTTTTTTCATTCTACCAAGAAGTTGAGAACACCTGGATGTACCTGGAGACTTTTACATAAAATTCATGTATTCAAAAGAAAGATTATAATACACGTACTACCAGTACTATCAATATTGAATAAGAAAAAAAAAAATATTTGATACCCATTGAAAATATGCTGTATAATTCAAATAGCTGAGTGACTGTGTTTCAGATATTTACAGGTTGTTTTATATCAGTATTATTAGGATTTCCCTGAAATTAATGGGATAATTTAAGTATGATTCATTTCATAGCAAACAAAGAATATTACCTTCTTATAACTTTGTACATAATATTATGACAACTTTCAAGTGAAATATGTCAACCACATTACATCTGCTTAATCCAATGCCAATGAGGCCTTTCACCCAATACAAGGGCTCATCAAACTGGCTGAGATGCAGTTAATATAATAATGATCTAGATACTATTAATTATAATTATTTGTTTGAACAATAACAGTTTCATGTAAACTAGATTACGTTGGTGAACTGTAATTTTTACCATTTAGGTTTATGATTTTTATTAACATCAAGTTATTTATTTACTTATTTTACTTGAATTAACTTTACTCATTCATTCAGACAAACTGATAAACCAATAAGCTAGTCTTCTTTTACTCACAGCAGTTAAAAGCAATGGCACTGACATTTTCATCAAAATATTTTCAAGATTGTATTTTTGTGGTTTCACAATCAAGTCAATGCAAAACACTTGCTGTTTTTCAAATTGTATTTCACATACTATTTTTGGAATTTCCAAGCAGTTTCCACTAAACTACAGGGTGTCCGAAAAGTAAGTTGCAGCTTTTCTTAATTTCAGATACATGACTGATTATGGTATTGTCAAAGCATGAGAAGGTTAAGTTTATCTTGCTGTTAATTCAAACTTGTTTTAAATTAAAAAGACAGCAGGTGGAACAAATTCCATAAAACATGTTGAGTGCCTATGGTTCCAGACTTTTTGGACACCCTATACATCTAACAGAAGTCTTTAGTACAAATAGTTTTAAGTAAATATTGATTAAAAAGCAGAAGAGACAACTATTGACCAAATTTTTATTTTCTATACTTTATGATCCCTTGACCCTATAAAACTGAAAATTTATTTTCTGCCCAGAACAACACTTTGCATTGAATATGATGTAAATCAGAGGTGGTATTATGTCAACTGTTGAAGGATTTTTTACAGAATGATATATTAAATACCATTTCAACTAATAAAAAAACATCAGATCCCAATGTGCTACAGAAATATTTATATATCTTACATTTTATACAAGGTTATAGACTGGTTTTGTTATATTTGAGATTTTTAAATGAATAACATTTTTTATAACTAATAAAATAAAGATAAATACATCATGAAAGAGATACACACAAGAAGCTGCCTGACATTTCAATGAACATTGAACATCATTTTCAAGGATCTGATCATGATATTTCGCACTTCATAGTCCTGCAGATTCAAAATCAGCTACCTTAATAATTAAAGACTAAAACAAAAGAGCTGTAAACCTTTTCAATATCTCATTTATATATATAGTACTCACAAAGAAGCTTGGACTGATATATGTGAAAACTCATAAAAACTTTGAGGCATTGTTATTTGAGTTCGACTTTGATAAGATGTTTCTACAGATCATTATAATTTGCAAACTGCTTTAAGATATGAGTAAACACGTGACATTATTCTGGTACAGAATGATATACATGCAACTACAGTTTGTAACTCTGATCATACCTGTAAAGACCATTCCAGAAATGAAAAAAGGTGCACCTCCTTGACATCAGGACGAGTAATAAAACGAGATGCCAGGAAAGCAGCAGCATCTTGAACCTTATCTCCAACACTGAGATATAATTTAATGACATCAATGATTCTGAAATAAACCATATTAGACAAAATTAATGTTTTTAGTAAAAAAAAAGTTAATATTTTTTTAAATTGCAGCATAAATTTGGTTCTCAACTTCAAAAAAAACAACAACAGCTAATATTAAAAATTAACTATGAAGTTATGAAACTCAAGTAAGCCAAACTATGTAGTCCTCAATTTCCTGTGATGGAAGCACAACAAATATGCCAAGGTAATAATAAATTTCAGAGAATTAAAGACAAAATACAGACAAATGTTTCAAAATATATCATGACTTTCAAACAGAAAATTTATCAATGTTTTCAGAGGATTTAACAAAGACTCGATGATGCTAAGATATTTTTTTTTACCACATGTAACCTTCCTACCCCCAAACTGACTTTTGTTTTGCTTTTCAGAATATACAGACAAAAAGCTTAAAGAAACCATTACTGTAAACATTATTAATGAATTCCAGTGCTTTTCAAATTTTTGTGTTATTTCTTACTTACAAATATTTTGGTGTTAGATGACAGAGACAGGAAGGGTCAGAGAATAAAGGAAAGAAAATTATTTTGTGTATGTAACTATAAGAAACATTAATGGGAATGGAAGGACAAATGTTAATATCACCCTTACCTGACAATATATTTCAGATACTTAACACTCCACAGAACAAACAGCTATTACCTTGCACCACTGCCAAAAGTCTTGAATAAAACTCCCACCCTACACATATTAACAGTACTGTGTCAACTTATGATGTAATCATCATTAGACTGTAGCTCTTTCCCAATAGGAAGGTAACACATCCTCTATACACAGTAAAGCCCATGAGCATTAGTACTTCTAAAAAGGATAATTCTTGATGGGGCAAAAAAACAACATCAAAAATGGGGAGGAAGGGAATGTAACTGTGGAAATGTAACTATATAAAATACATTTTTTGGATAAGAAAAATGTAAAGTTCAGAAATGCTACTCACCTAACCACAGAAGAAATAGAATCCCAAATTGGTATGATGGTGTAGTAACCAGAGTCAATAAATAAATTAAAAAGATAAGCTCCTTACTGAACTTATGGCATCAGTATATAGATTATTGCTATTTTGAAATAAGTTCTTATACATATTTTTCCTAAAACATAGAACAGTAAATAAAGAAGAAAAGCAAACAATTATCTCTTCTAGTTATGACCTGTGTACTTGGTTGCTGCTTGACGTATGTTTCTAAGCCTTTAAAAATTCTGCATGTGGAGGATATGAAACAATATGCTTTTTTTAGGTTTTATATATACTTTTGAATAACTAAAAAATCATAAATTACTACATTAATACCATAGAATTCCCCTATCATTTTTAAAGCTTAATAACTAAGATATATTATAGTCTAAAAAATATGATATTTTGAGCAGACTAAAGATCAACCCTTCCTCATTGAAGTATTGGTTCAAAAAGAGAGAAATGGCACCAAGCCTGTTAAAATTGCTGAGAAAGCCACTAGGGGGACATTCTGAGCTTCCAATTGTTTATTCATGTCATATATGGAAATAAGTGTATATAAGGGAGCATTTCCAAAACTGGAAAGAGGTGGGCAAGGTGCCACTGTGTTTGATTTATTACATGAGCAATATCTTAATAAATTGAAAAGATAAGAGGCTCTTATTTTATATTCTAGCTTGTCAATATCAGTAATTTGAGTTTTTAATTCGTTCGAAACTAGACTAAACTAGGGAAGAATGACTTCCCTATTTTTATCATTGATAGAATACTTTGTAATTATATGGAGACTCTAAGTAACCTATAATTATCAGTTTACCATATATGAATAAATATTCTTTGATTGTTAAAAATCAGTTAAAGAATGTTATTAAAGGGGTGTATCCACAAATACAGTTGAGATGTGTGTTTAAACATAATTGTCGGCAACTGTCTTTCTTTAGATTGAAGGACCAAATTTATGTTTTATAATCGTCATTTGTTGCTTATAAATTTACTTGTTCTTGCTATCAGCAAGTCTACATCAGTTCTACTTAAAGAAAATTGATAACATTAGTGAAAGATAATAATAAGTTAAGATCCCCTACCAAGTTGCTATAGAGGAACATGCCCTTAAAGAATGTGGTATTGTTGTCCAACCAATCTGATTTGTTTTGGATCTTAGCATGGGGCAATGATAAACAGACCCTCCATATAAAAGAGAGCTTGTTCACTCACAAGCTGAAACCTGAAATTAATGTTAAGGAAATGCTACTCAACTGCTACTTTTATAAAATTGCATTTGGTGTCCTTAGACTTTTAAAATATTTTGGTTAGGTAATAAAATCATATTGGTGGAGGTTGGGAAACTCTAGTAAACTGCATTGTAAGATGGTTTAATGAGAAAAAGCAAAAAGTTGTTATTAATGGAATCTTGGTACAAGTGAAGTGATTAGTAGTTGATAACTCACTTAAGCCATGGAGATAATGCTCTCTTACTGGTAACAAAGTTATTAGAATTTGAGGGTTTATTTATAAACAATGTTAATTAGAAGTCACAAAAAGCATATAAATATAATAGAAGCATCAGTGATTTGTAACAAGTGCATCAGAGTCCAGCAGAAACTACTCCAGTAAGTCCTGGAGCTTCAAGGTCTATTTTCTCCACCATGATATATTTCTGCCACTCGTATTTCTGCATGTAGGAAGTAGTAAGCAGTGTTCAAGTTTCAACAACTGAGGATTCCCTTAACTACCTGTTAACCTCAATTCCAAACAAAATTTGTCCCACTTCTAATCATTCCAAACTTTCAGATCATATCTCATCTCAACATCTTTTTAACACATACTAGTAAATTAGATTACTTTCTCAAAAAATTTTTTAACTGCTAAAATGTTATAGCAACTAATGGATTTACCTTTCCATGGTTGGCTTTTTCTGACCTTCATTAAACTTGTTATTACTATCTAGTCTTTCCATATGAAATGGAATCATGACAATGATGGAAAGCCAAAGAAGCAATATATAACGTGTTTCCCATGTTTCATGATCAAATGGATTTTGTTCTGCCAACAGTGAGAGAACGGGTTCAACATCAGCTACCTAAAAATCAATCAAATAAGACATACTCTAAAAATACTGTTAATAACATATATAAGAATGTTCATATACAATCAATTGAATTAAAACTGTTTGTTACATTAACTAGATATGTGTCTTAATACACTATAATGTACAGAGCTACTTCACAAGTATAGGTATCATACAGCATTAGATTTTAAATAAAGGTTCATAACCTAAAAATAGTTTTTACCTCCCTTTGGACCACTATAACAAGTACAGTACTTTCTAGATATTTTACATCATGATAATTACTCTGAATACATGAAGCATACAAACATACAACAGGAATAAGCAGACAAACAAAAAACAGTTATACTTATTAAGGCCATTCCCAAACAATTAAGGAACCAAGCTAAATTTCTTACTTTTATTTACATATATGTTTTTGACAAAAACAATAATACAAACTATTGGTACATACCAGAAAGCAAAGAAATCCATAATTTAAGAATTGTAAATAGTTCTGTCAAAGAACAATTTTCAGTTTAGGCCTCATTACACTTACTATCTCTAATATTTCAGCAGCAACTACTAAATCAATAAGAACTTCTGATAAAAACAATGCTAACTATATAGATCAGAAACACAACTGATGTAAACAAGTAAATAATGCACATTAATGAAACCAGTCTTGTATGACAAACCAACTAAAAGAACCGGGGAACCAGAAACCTAGCCTCTTTTTTTTTTCACAAAGTGCATTAACCGTATCTCTATGGGTGTCCTTTACTGTGCATGACACAAGGTTTTAGTGTCTTACATTCAAAATTTTATTAAACTACTTTTTGTTTATGTTATACCAATTAGAAGAGCATAAAATCTTACCTAATAATCCATATTTTAATAGTATACAAGTTTTAAGTTCTTAATTATACAAGGGAATATTAAAAAAAATCCTGATTTTCCACTAGTGTGACCCACGACACATTTTGTCTTAGGATGTTATCATCCCTATTTTATCTATCACCCCTCGAAAATGTACAAAATTAAACATAAATTACTCTCTATAGAAATGTTATTGCTCAGAAAACCATAATTTTTAGTTTTCAATTTTGTTTGGTTACAGAGCTATCGAATAGAAAATCAGCCGCCTCCTGCCACACCCACATGTCACATCCTCTCTTTCAGAATTTGTTGATAGTTCTCTCTTAGGTTTCATTATATATTACCTATAACCAGTACAAAGTCAAGATTTTCATCTATCAACTGACATATTGTATAATGTATTCTGAGCAGAATATCATCAATTTCACTCACAATACAAGATTCGTTCCCGTGGGAAAGTTAATGACAAAGTTAGATGAATTTGTAACGGCTCTTGTCATACAGTTAGAAAGCCAGTAAAATTCTGAGAGGTAAGTGAATTTGTTTACTTTTTGCATGTTATTAGATAATATTCTTTGGTGCATTATTTAATTACATAAAAATTATTAAATGCATTACTATCATCACTATAAAAAATTAGGCTTAACTCATTTCGAAACCCGACAGCAAGAAAAAAGATGACTAGGTAAGTACTTTATTTCTTATTTTTCATATTTATTATTTATTTAATATTGTAAAAGTAACTAAAATCTAAAAATACAGATCATCTAAAGTTATATAAGACTAGATTAGGTAAAATAAGTAATAATAATAATAATAATAATATAATCAAAATGGCACGCATGTAAATGATTTACAACTAGTAATGGCATGGTTCAAATAGCAATAAAACAATAAAATTTAATTATAAATATATGTATGATGTTACGAACTCAGAGCTACTTAGGATAACAATTACAGTTTCATGTTACAATCTGAAGTCATTCTAGAAAGAAAAAAGGTTAATTTAGGTTCTTTTCGATTTTGTTTTTGGTGGTTTGACTGATTCCGTTTTGAGAAAGGGTAGAAAAAATAACAGATAAACTATAAAGTTTTACCGAAAATAAAACGTTTAAAATCCATTTAGGAGGAAATTTGAGATTTTTGATATGAGGAAAAGTATTTTCTATTTTAACATAAAAATTACTTTTGTTATGTATTAGAATTTCAAATAGCCTGAAATCGAGTTAAATGATACTTTATATTTAGTAGTTAAATTGTACTTTGGATTTAGCAGTTTAGTAAAAGCCGATATATAATCAGTTTATGATATTTGCCAACAAGATTGATACACACAGTTTTCTTTTTTTTTTTAACACAAATACATTTTAATATACACACAACAATACAATTTACAATAACAGTTATCACAAATAGTTATTACACACTATGATTTATATACAAAAATTTTACAGACTTACAAGCAATACAAAGTCTTCTTTCTAGTCTGAAACTTCTTCGATATCTTATCAAGGGTTCATGATGAGCGAGTTGATTATGAGTTGATGTAGGTATAATTCAATTCACAGGGAGCTAGCTAGCTTTGTCCTTCATTATTTACCAGCCACACATGCCAAGTTTTCCAGGATGAATTTATATAATGTTTTCGTAAAATTACTAATGTCTGATGAGAATCCACAGAAGTTAGATAATTTGTAATGTTCAAACTTTGTAAAGGTTCCTGGTCAA